CTCTCTCTCTCTCTCTCTCTCTCTCTCTCTCTCTCTCTCTCTCTCTCTCTCTCTCTCTCTGGTGAGGGGGGCATGTCGCAGCTACGTGTTCTCATAAATGTATGTGGTGTCTCATGCAATAGATGGAACCCGCGATTGCATCGACTGTCAATGGTGGAGAGACATGCGCCATGGAGACGGAGGACATTCAGATGGCTGCAAGGAAGGGAATTCGGCAGGAGGGAACAACGCAGACTGTGCAGAGGTGCTTGCGACAATATGTGCACAGACTGCAGAGATGATGGGTGATGGTGATGAAACAGAGAATGATGCAGGAGGGAACACTTGTGAGTCGGAAATGGTTGGGGAAGAGAGAGAGGAGGGAGGTATGGGAAGCAGGGAATCTCTGACAGGGTGTATTGTGAAAGTTGAAAATGTGGTAAAGACATCAGCAGGAGAAGAGTACCCATATGACATCAATTGGGTGTCGGGTCGTGTTCAACCGGGTATTGTTGGAGGAGCACCCTGCTTTGCGTTCAAAGTCGAAGGGACATGGATTCCATTTCCTGCCCCCCCAAAAAATACATGGCGAAACGTGACTCTGACAATCGTGTTTGAGAGACTATTAAGGTTGAACGATGGGGCAACAACAAAGGTGAAAGAGCGATATGCATTGGACATGTGGCGTCTTCTGGAGGCGCAGGGCGAGTTCGGGCTGAACGATTTTTTGTACGACAGATTTGATTGTGGACAGGCATGGGTGATTGGCGGGAACGACGCAACAGGGAGTACGGCGTGCCATGAGAGCGATGCGAGGAGGGATCCTAGGTGGGGTTGGGTGCCATGTGTGATCCCGATTCCATGTGGCCGTGTGAGGATGATGATGTGTGATGTCATGGGAAATGTCTGGAACACGCATTATGTGAATGGCAACTTCTCCTTCAGGCATCTCGACAGGGAGGTCTCAGAAGACGAGAAGAAGGCAATGGCATGTAATACCCATACTGCTGGCTGCTTTTTCCCGCCGCTTCGGAACCCTGTGGATTCGGAGGTGGTTGAAGGGAAAGTTTTCACTGGTGAGGATGGCCGCACATACACGCATGCAAGAGGGCAGGAAGCCACGTATGATGGAGTATGCTCGCAGATATGGGACCATGTCACAATAAGGAGTGACGTTCTGTCTGCCATGGACATTGGGGCCCGTGTCACCCCTGAAGGACAGTTGCAGCAGCATATGGCCCCTGAAAAGTATGACTATCGTGTCAATTGGGTCCCAGGATGTTTGCATCTTGCAGTGGTTGATGGCAAGGTGACGATGGGAGCAAGACTGCAACAGGGCATTGGATCCCATTGGGATGGATGCATGCAGGCATTGTGGAGCATTGGCAGTTCCTCGTGGCTCTAGCACGAGTTTCAATTTTCAATGTGAATGTAAAGGACCACGTCCTGGTGGTTGAACACGCAAAGCGGTGCTGGGAGAAGATAAGGGAGGAGGAGCGTCAGATGGTGTGCACGGATTATGACTCTATGGCTGACCAGTGGATGTGGTCCATGGTTGAGGGGAGTTGTACGGCCCAAGAGCACGGTAACGGTCAGAACAGATACATGGCTCTCATTCGCCGCAGGCACGGTTGCACGACCGTTCTTGGTTGGGTCCCGGTCGTATGTCCCATGACATATGAGCATGGTGAAGACGTCACCATGAGATTCAGAGACACGCTTGATGTGCCTTTCCATCTGACCTACTCAGATGGACTCCTGCGAGACATTCGGTATCTGCCGGAGGATGGCTTGCCAGGTTCAGCGCAGGCAGGCAAGAGGATAGAGAAGCGCTCAGAAATTTACCGTTTGTCTGCTGAGGTGGAGGGCCCATGTGGTCCTGGTCGCGTCGGGGGGTGCTGTGCAGCACAGGGTGACATGGGCGGGCCGAGTGATGTCGCGATGTCGCAGAGCCCGGGGAAGAAGAAGAAGTGCATGTCGGGACCGCCACGTGGGCAGACGCCCGCAGGCAGAAAGAAGGTGAACCCGAAGGCTGTGCCAGGGACCGGAGACTCCGCAGGTGCACGAACTCGGGTCCCCAGACGCCGTCGACGCCTCGGGATGGCAACTTTGTCGGAAATCAGAAAGTTGCAACGATCCACCGACCTTTGCTTGGCTTTCATGCCGTTTTTGCATCTCGTGCGCGAGGTTGTGGAGCGGGACATTGCTCCGGGTATGGGCGTGAGGTTTCAGATGACGACGGTGCGTGCTTTGATGGAGGCTGTCGAGGCGTACCTGGTCGCCAATTTCGAAAACACCAACGAGGTGGCCATCCATTCGAAGAGGGTGACGATCCAGGCCAGGGACATGAGACTGGTGGATAGGTTGTCGAAGCCTCGCTGGGTTGAGAAATATCAAGGTATGTTGGACGAGAAGGTGAGATCTGAGGAGAGACAGGAATGGATGGACGCCAGACAGACGGAAAGGGATGGCAGTAGAGCAGGGGCGAAGAAGAGGAAAGCAGTGCCACGTAAGGGGGGGTCCGCGAAAAAAAAGGAAGCTTGATAATTCTACTGTGTGATCCCTATAACGGTTGTCCTGTCAAATCGTGGACTCAGTGGAAGTCTTCTTGGTGTTAGGTGGGTTGAGAGAGAGAGAGAGAGAGAGAGAGAGAGAGAGAGAGAGAGAGAGAGAGAGAGAGAGAGAGAGAGAGAGAGAGAGAGAGAGAGAGAG